CACCCCACCCTCCCCGCCAGCCACCATCCCTAACTCAGTACAACCACCGCCCTCCCCCATCCCACCCTCCCCACCACCATCCCTAACCCCAATACCACCACCGCCCTCCCCCATCCCAGCTCATGCCCACCTATCTCCAAGGTCACCCGCCCAGCGCAACCCCACCTTCACCTCCAGCCCAACCCCATTCCTCCCCAGCCATGACCACCTCCTCCTCCCCAGGCCCCCCGGGGAGCCTGAGCTGAGCCCATCGGGGGCGGAGCAGCCAGAGCAGACCGGCCTCCTCAGGGCTGGTGCCTCTGGAAGACCCAGAGGTGGCAGTGGGGGCTTTGGAGAGGAGGTATTTGAGGGTTGCGGGCCCCTGGGGAGAGGGGACCCACTGGGCCGTGGAGCAATCGCGAGGGCCACCGCCAACCTCTCCATCTCCTCCTAGTGCTGAGCCCGAGGACCTGCTAGAAGCAGTCAGTGGACCTGGGGCGGCGGGCATCAGAGCAGCCCTGCTCACGCCTCTGCCCGCCTTCCCTCTCCCCTCCCCGCCGCGGCCCTCCCTTCCTTCCTCTGCTGCCTGGGCAGGGCCCCACAGAAGCCTGCCTTGGGAGGGACTGGGGGGAAGGGGGCGGGAGGGGGCCTTCCTCCAGGGAGGGTGACTCTCCCAAGCCCCAGAATAGCTCCTGGACCCAAGCCCAGGGCCCGGCCTCGGCCTGGGATGAAGCTTGGAGGGTCGGTGGCCCGAGTTATTTTTACCTCCTGCCTCCCCTGCTGGCCCCCCACCTGATGTCCTGCTGCGTAGTCTGACACTGGATCCCCGCCCCCGGCCCCCGCCTCATCATCTGTGGACACTGGAGTCTGGAATAAATGCTGTCTGTCACGTCGACACCATCCTGTGGCCAGGGCCTCTGGAGGGCAGGGAGGGAAAGGGGTGCAGGTGACTCTCCCCTCCCAGCGGCCCCTCCCTGCCCACCCCCTTGCAAGACGTCAGGAAAAGCCTGATGTCATGGAGAAAGAGAAGAGAGAGAGGGTGGGGCAAGGGTGACTCAGCTGGCCAAGGGGAGGGGACGCAGGTGTGTTGCGGGGTGTCCACAGGGCACTGGAGCTGCCCCCAAGGGCGACGCCTGCCTGGGGATGGGGTGCGGGCCCCTTAAGTGCAAGCTCCCAGTCTCTCTTGCCAGGGCCCCAAAGGGAATTGGTGGAATTAGGAACTAGGAATGAGGCTTTTTCTGGGGAGGGCATGGGTCGAGGAGTCCCTGGGGAAGAAAGGCGGGCTCAGGAGCCCAGATGCAGGGGCCTGGGGCCGGAGGAAGAGGGTTTGAGAGAGGAATGGAAAGACTTGGAGGGGGAAGAAGGAGGGATAGGTGGGGAGCTCAGAGATGAGAGCCCTAGAGTTAGACAGAGACAGAGAGTTGGGGAGAGAGAAACAAAGAGAGATGAAGAGACAGAGGAAGAACTGGGATTCGGAGATCCTCGGAGCCGGACAGGCGGAGACTTTGTGTGTGGGGGGAGTGGGCAGCTCAGAAGCACTGGGGCAGGGCGACAGGTGGGTGCGTGTGACTCCCTGGGTTCGTTCCTGTTTCTTGTGAATCAAGTGGAGACAGAACACACGTGGGCCGACAGGGGGCCGCTGGGGGGCCAGCAGGGCCACTCCTACGTAGTGGCCGCAGGGCCGGACTCTGCTTCCATCGCTCAGCCCACCACTCCCTAAGCAAACCCTGGCTGTGGCCTCTTCGGCCCCACAGCCGTCCCTAACCCCGTGTATACTGTCACCTCCCACCCCAGCCCCAGCCTGTCGGGGTCTGCTCTCAGGGGTGGATGTCGGGAGGTGCTGCCTCTAACAGCAGGCAAGTGCCCTCAGTTAGCCACCACCCCGGCACAGTGGGGTCTGTCACCCACTTTGAGAACGGCTCTAGGAGCCTCCTGGCAGGTGACCAAGCATCCCACCCAGAGACCCGGGAGCACAAGAGCTCATGCGCTAAACGAAGGCACCCAAGCCTCATGGGGTATGGACTCCATTGAAGCCAGGGAAGGCGATGGGGCTGATAGGCTTCGACCGCCACCACCCACGACCTGGGCTAAGCTGGCAGAGTGCCCTGTCTGGCCAGTCTGCAGTTTCCACGCCGAGTGGACGGGGAGCAAAAGGGTTCCACGCCTCGGAGGTGCCCAGGGCTGGGCATGAGGGTGGTGCCATGGCTTTGCCTGCATGTCTTGGGCACAGGATTTGTGGAATGGAGTGGGTGTCACCAGTCGGACCCCACTTAAGAACACAGAGTGGACTTGAGCCTCCCATCCTTCCCATCCATGTTCAGCTCACTGATTTTTTTCTTCTTTTTAAAAAATTTTTATTGGGGCGGGGGGGGACCAGCAGGTAGGGTAATGGCTATGTTGCTGGGCGCCTCGACCACAGTTTGAGTCCCAGACCCGGTGGCTTAAACTCATGCAGGGCGCATGTGCATGCGTGCCCAAGATCCCGAGAGGAGAATGGAGGAGAAGGGATTGCGGCGTGACCATCCCCCCTGGGGGGTGTTTTCTCGCCTTCTGTCTCTATGTCTCTCTCTGTCTGTCTGGCAAGCACACACGCCCTATAGCAAAAACCTCTCACAAAAAAATTGTATTTATCTTATCTTTTTTTTTTTAGTGTGCTGCAGGACACACACTCACCAGAGACAGACAGAGAGAAAAAGTGAGAAACAAGCCACCAGGTCCTGAACTTGAACCCTGATCAGCCATGTGGGAGTCCGGCATCCCAACCACCACTCTACCTGTGGCCCCCTTCTTCTTTTTAAAAAATTTGCTACACAGGGGCTGGCAGGTGGCCACACTGCAACCTGTTCTCCTTTTTCCTCTCGGGGTTTTGAGCATGCACACACACACGGCCTGGAGTAATTTTCAAGTTGCTGGGTTTGGGACTTGAACCTTGTAGTCAGCCAGGTGGTATCCAGGTGCCTCAACCTCCACACCACCTGCTGGCCTCTCATAGTCCATGTCTAACCAGTCTCATGAGTCGCTTCTCTAAGTTTTATTCATTTATTTCCCCCATGAACCAGCACTCCCAAAAGGGTGTTGGCGCTGCAGTCCACCCCAGCTCCAGCCAGCCCAGGGTCATGGGCACGTGGGTATGAACCCAGAACCTCCCCATGTGGGCACCTCACAGACCACCCCACTTTACCGATGCACACTGGTCCCCTCGTGAGCTGCTCGTTCACATCCAGCCTTCACTTGCTCACGTCCTTGCCTGTGTGCCTGTGTCCTCCATGTAGCAGCACTAAATATTCTTTGGGGGAAAAAATGCACAACTAGGGCCGGCGGGTGGTGTGGTGGTTAAGGGCGCTAGACTCCCACATGGCCGACTGAGGTTTGAGTCCTGGACCTGGAGGCTTGCTTCTCACTTCTCCTCTCTCTTTCTCTCTTGCTCACTCCACTCTGGCCGTCTCTGGTCAAATTTAAATAAATAAATAAATAGATAGATAGATTTTTTGGAGAGGTTTTTGCTATAGGGCGTGTGTGCTCGATAGAAAAACAGAGAGATGGAAAACAAGAAATCACCCCTCTGGGGGGATGGCCACACCGCAGTCTCCTCCATTCTCTCGGGATCTTGGGCACACACACGTGCACCCGGCGTGAGTTTAAGTCACTGGGTCTGGGACTCAAACCGCAGTCGACTACATGGGAGTCCAGTGACATAGCCATTATGCCAATTGCTGGT